TCCATCATTAAATATGCGTTATTCTTTTAATAGATTTTTTTTTTAAATATTTTTTCATTAGATTATATCTTTCCAATATATGTTGGAATACAACAACAATAACAACAATCTTGTTGTTATAGCATTACATTTCAGCTTGGCATGCTGACGTGTAATGTCCATTCCCCTCTCCTGTTAGGGTTTTATTGGTTACTATAGTTACTGACCATTGCTCCATTCATGTCATTTATATAGGCTAAATTCTTAGTGACCCTAAATCTGTTATCATATACACCTTGTCGTTTCTATATTGTGAGATGTCAAGGCACCCAACATGTTATGAGGAAGACTTCCAAATAAATTAGTAGAGCTTGTCTGCATGACAGTCTGGATTCACAGGGCTGAATCCCTCCATGCATTACCATATTTTTACATCCACCTTAAGAATAAGTCAGCCAGGTCTTGTACATGCTGTAACACAGTCTATCTTGATATTTATTATTTAATCTATTAAAACATTTGGCTGTCTCCACACACAGTTGGGGGACCAATTAAAAGTCCAGAAAAACTGTACAAAGTTTCTCATGTAATTAGACGTTTCAGGGCATGCTATTAAGGGCCATCTGTTCTCCTGGATGACTGAGTATGACTGAGAAATAAGATGTTTCCTTCTGTGCTTGAGGTTCCGTCTGTCTTGATTCTATATTTGATTAACTTTGTATGAGGGTGGGGACTGAATTTATTTATAATGGTCTTAATCACTATAGCAGGTTAAGTATGATTAGGGTAGGATATTGAACTGTTTAGCATTTGAGAAACCTTTTATTGTTTCAGTGCAAATAACTATCTTGAATATTTTTCTAGGAGAACCTCCACTGCTTTTCTGTTGTTTACATTTCCCCACCACCTGTTTTTTTCTTTGTCGTCAGTAATCCAATTTTGCCATAGAATAAATGGTTACAACTAGAGAAAAATCACTACCATTTAATGCATTTTGAATTTGGCTAGTAAAGCCAAACAGATCTGAGCAGAGCAGCAAAACATATGTTGTAAACTTATGAGAATTGGCTTGCTTTCCCCTCAGTAACATCTGTGCAGGCTCACCAAAGGTAACGTAGAACATGCCAGACTGCCACAAAATGTGGAGATACCCAAATTAACTTTTAATTTAGGTATTTCTGCTGTTCTGCCAGCTGTGATGTGCCAATACCCTTAAGAGCAGATTTCAGTCACTTTTTATCAGTGCAGCTGGCTGCCTACACTTTTTCCTCTAAGTGCCTCTAAATCCTAACAGAGCAATGACACGCAGCAATACTTTTGTTTAACATTTCTAACAACAACTGATGGCTTCAGCTAGAGTTTTGCATTAGCACACACACATTTAAAACTTAAATCTGGCTCTAAATAATACTTCCACTTCTTTGTATAAATTTATGCAAATAAGATCAAAGGTCTCATGCTCTGCATATAGCAAAGTATTTACAAATCTGTGCCAAGCCAAGACATCTGGTCATTTTGTTTTGGTTATAGCAATGTGGGTTTTTCTATCTACCGTGCTTTCTTTGACATTTCACCCACTTTATATACAGCAGCAAGTACAGCTATATCAATATTAAAACAACGTTCACTTATTCACTTAAATGCAATATTGTTTGAAAAATTAAACAAGAAACAACAGTTTATGACACCCTGTTGCACACTTAGCACTGCTAATGTCACTGCCCTAGCATCACTCTTAGGCATGTAAACCCTGGCATTTTCCAAGGCTTCTGGTTGATTTTAGGAATGGTTATCATAAACATGTTAAAACTAGTATTTGATGGCAATTGTATGCACTTAGAATAGAAACATATCACCAAAATTTAGATACAGTTAGCTATCAAGGAGTGAGTTGCCTTTCACTCCGTTTAGTGTCAGCAAATAATATCAAGGAATTTCCAATTTGAATTTCCAATTTGTAGTAATTTTTTCTGCAATTGGGTGCCTCATTTGGAGGGAGGTATATCACCTAGGAGGCCACATTCCTCACCCCTATGAAGAGCTTAATCTTAACTTCTCTTCTGATTCCTTGAAGTTAACTTCACTGCTCCCATATGTTTCCTTGGCCTGCAATGTGATCAACTCAGTATTTTTCAGCAATTAGTATCTGACTCTAGAGACTACTTTGTTTTCTCTCTTGAGAAGTTGCATGGATCTTTCTACATAGAAAATATAAGTGCAGCTATCATGACCATGCAGCTACAGCTGTTAATGATGCACACCATAGTGAATGTGATTCATACAATCATCTGGAATTTATTATCTACTGAGAAGGAGATGTGGACTTTTTCTGTGTAATCAGAAAGAGAATATAAATTCCATTTTAAAGAATTTTTCCTGAAATGAAAAGCCTAATTTCTCTTATTATTATTCAAAGTGAATAAAGTTGTTAAAAGAACACCACAAAAGCTATTAAAACTTTGACAGATGTTCTGGTGAAATGTGAAACTGTTCTTTTTACCTTCAGGAATAACATTATTTCATTATTGTGATAATTCTGCGATCAGAAAACTGGAAAAATTAACTTTGATGGATTTTCTTTTTTTCCTGGAATGTTTCTTTCATAAGAGAATAGCACAAGAAAGCATCAAGATTTGGCAAGTAATTAAATCATTCAGAAAGTGGAATTTTAATCCTTATAGAAGCTTTACTTAAAGTGTCATCTCACAAATGTGTTTTCATCTTGGGAATGGTCATGTTGGCTGTCTGCTCCCTTGACAATAATAATGTACATCTGTTCTCACAGTTTTCATAAAATGGAGGATAGTACAAATCACTGCAGATTATATAATTGCTACATAGTAAAAACACTGGGTTTATAGATTTTTTTAAATATCATTTTCTATGTATTTTAATATGTGTATTGCTCATGTGCTACAGTAGTGGTTTTGCTTCCTCAAAATTCAATAATAATCAGAAATCCTTAACACATTCTTTATCATTTTTCTCTGTTTTCATCATAAGAATACATGTTACATTATAGAGAATTTAAAAAAAAAGATTTGCACATGAAAGTCAAGGCTTGAAAAGTATAAATACATGTAATTTTCCTGCTACACTACAAGCAAGATGGAAAAATGTGTGGTTTCTGGTCCTCTTGGCTTTTCTGAGCCCTGGTAAAAGTATCTAGGTTTTTCAGGCTCCTCCCCTGTCTCAGCAAGAAACATGGGAAATGTTTTCTTATAATTGAGACAGTAAAGCCTCTGCTATTCAGTGGTGCAATTTTCCATTACAATACTTCACCTATAGACACAGCAGATTATTTTTCTCTCAGGATCTAAATTAATTACAGGTTTTTATCCTACGTAAAAATTCCTTTGTGATAATCTGTTGTTTTGCATGCTAGAGAGGACATCACAGGAGATCACTACAGCCTGATCTGGCTGCAGGAACCTGTGAAGAGTTCAGAGCTGTTACCAGTGACATTCCTGTTCATGAAGGAATTGCAGGTGAAGTAATTTGTCCCCCAATGACCCTTGAAGCTTCTGTCCCATCTGCCTCATCCTGTGGAGCTCCAAAGAGCCTGGTGCATTTCTCCATTAGAATGAAGCCCCAGTGGCACAAAAGGGGTGCTCCTGCTCTGAGGAGCAGTTGTCCAAAAGATACTTGGGGAGCTTCTGCATCAGTGGGGTTAGTAGCTTTTTGTGGGTTTAAAGCTTGTTTTTGTTGAAGAGCAAATGAGAATGGATATGTGAAAGCTCTCCTGTTAGGCGGAATAATATAGACTCTGTGTTCAAGCTGTATTTTAATTAAGGGTATCAAAAATAGAGTGTCATACAGACTGAATGCTGGGGATGATTTAACAGGCAGAAAGAACGACAAGTGAAAGCTTAGCAAACTAATATAGGCTTGGAAAACGAGATTTGATGACCTTTTAATCACTGACTTTCTCCGTATGTAGAGGAAGATCACTTATTTTCCCAATGTTTCAGGTTTTTTTCTGTACAGTGGGGATAATAAAACAGCTTCAAATGAGCCTTTTAGGGAGAAATGGTAAATATTGGCAACTGCTTACATCTTTGATTGCAGAATCACACTGGCTATTTACTTTGGGCAAGTAAATTCTATGTGTAGATACAGAATTTCAAAGTATAATAGGTCATGAAACTATGATATAGTAAGGCATTCCTCTTGGACTTGTGAACTAAAAAAGCCAACTGGACATGAAAGGGCCTTTGACAATCTTCAAAGGAAAGAACAAGTTAGCACCTTTAAATCTGAAATTATAGATAAATACATTTCCCTTCCTTAAACCCCCTGTAGTTCCAATTAGGGATTCTACTTGTCACTTCCCTCCCAAAGTGTGGCACAATGCTGTTGTGCATTATTGAACATGCTGCTGTGCCCTACTTGACCCCAGAAGTGACTGCTTTTGGTACTGGATGAAACGAGTCACACAGATTCCTTGAGTATTTAACTGAGAGATTGTGACTAGTTTAATTAGAGAATGCTCAAGAAGTGTTGTGAGATACTTGGATTACATTCATTATGTAAGGTCAAATTAATTATGAGCATTAATACAATCTTGACCTAAAGAGTAATTTGAATAAGGGATGAAATAATAACAAGATCCTTTTGAGTCCCATGCAGCATGCTTTGCTTTTCCATATAAAATATCTCCCACATCATTTAAGATGTTTTTGTAGAGCAGAGCAAGTCAGTGCCACTCAGAAGTGCCAGGAAATTGCACTGCCAGATGTGAGTCATTGCTGAACTCCAGCACTCGTTTCTTTGTTCACCTTTCAAGCACAAGACAACCTGTTCCCTACCACAGAGTTGCCTGAAGGTGCCTTGATGGAACATGCAGTGAGGAGCCTGCTGGACAAGGGGAGGTTGTTTGATTTTTTTCTGAAGTTTGAGGAATTATCTTTATTTCCTGTGAACACCTGGGGTGACATGGCACAACCATCCTTGTCCTTGGGTAAAATCCTGATATTTCTGAAGTCAAAGAAATCAAAGAAATCTCCTCTTTTCTCTTTCAGTGAAACCAGGATTTCCACCACAGACATATTTCAGTGCCATGTTCTTTCAGGTACGGAAATAGTGAAGTGCTGGGAATGACATGAATTTCTGAAGCCATGTAGTCAATTTCCCTACCAAAGTAGAAGAATCAGACTGAATGTAGCTGACTGATCATCAAATCTCTCTTGGAAGTTGGATGGCCAGCATGGGTTTCCAGTGCAGCTTTTTGCATGGTAAGCTTTATACTTTTTGTGGATACCTAGAAAGTTTGGTAGCAGGTTTACTTTAATGAAATCTGAACACAAGGAGATCATATTTCTAAGTCTAAACTTTGTATATTTCTAGGCTAGATTCTTTTGCTTAAATACACATATCCACAGTGTATTTAAGACACCTATTTTAGGATGAATTGAGTTATTCCCTAGATCTGAATTGACTCTTAGGAGTAACTGACTACAATTAGTCATGAATTTCATACTTTTATACTTATTCTTTGTAAGTACTCTAGGGTTTTAAGGAAATGGGGCTGGAATACTAAATTATTTAGGGTTACTGAGCTAGTTACCACAGAAACGTGAGCAGAGAATTGTATTTTAACTTTACAAGCAGGGTATCGCTGCAAAATTTTCCCTTTGATTACTACCAAATGAAATATTTCAGATGAATAACCATTTTCTTTTCAGGTATTGAACATCTATCTCTAACTTTTCACAGAAAAAAGCTCTTTACTTTTACTTACTTTTACTTACAAAGAAGCTTTTTACTTTTCCCACAAGCTCCACTTATAAGACCAGAATTCCACAGGCAATTTTGTTTGAATGTAAAACCTGGGGTGACTGTCTAAAGCCAAGCATATAAATGGTTTTCTGAACATTTAGTTCTAGTCCATTTATTTTTGTTTATTTCTGTACTTCATTATAATGAGATACACATTTTTGTGTATCGAGGACTATAATTACTCGTGTCCATAGAGCAGCTCAGCAGAGAGTATAATTATTGCTCACATGTCAGCTCAAGGCAAGAATTAGACTCAAAAGTCTGACATAGTCATTACTCCTACATTTTAATTTGTTCACCTCCTGGTAGCACCTAACAGATCACCTATGCCTGTCCTAATTTTTCAGTACAAAGAGATTAAACTCCTGCCTTTGTATCCTTTTTTTGTGAGGGAGGTAGTCATACCTGAGAATGAAGCTGGCCATACTCACAAAGATGCAGAGCTGGTTCTGGTTCAGTGCTGCAGGGCAGCACTGGGCAGCACAGGGCAGCTGGCCATGTGTGCAGCACTGCCAACATCACAGACATGCCTGAGGCTGCAGAGACCTGACAGATGGTCCTGCACAGGGGTGGAGGGTGTTCTCTTTTTTTGTAAAAATCAAGCAAGGTCTTGTGGCAAGCTAGGCATTTGCCACAGCTGGTGAGATTTATACAGTCTAGAAGTGACAAAGCCATTGCTCATGAGCTACGTGTACCAAAACCTACTTTGATGTGGCTGCCAAAGACCCCTTCAAGACATGGGCTACAGCAGGGATGACCAGAGAGTCTGCACTGTATGCTCTCTGTAGGTGCCACTCATGCCCATCTACCTCCAAGGGCAACTTGCTCCAGAATTCAAAAGCACTTTTAGCACAGGAAGACACTGGACAGTCCCTTACTCAGTTGAGGAATGGGAGTAGAGAAGGGCTGCTGCCTAGTACAGGTCCCCATCCACTGCTGTTACACTGGCCTGTGCACTGCTGACACTTCTGGTTTTTCTGTTTACTGTCTGGGGCACCATTAAATTTCCTGAGAACTCTCACAGCTCAGTACAACAAAAACCTTCGGGCTTTAACGCAGTGTATTGAGTTTGTGGTTTGTGCTATTATGTTGGGCAAAACAAAACAAGTTATAAAGCCACATAAATCTTCAAACATCCCTCCTTTGCCTATTACCAGTGAATCCTGGGTCTCTAAATAATTTAAAAATGTCTGGTACTTAGGCTTTTTGGATGGCTTTCTCTGAGTTTGTGTGAAGACTGTCCTCCACAGCAGGGAGCCCTGACCATTTCAGTGCTATATTGCAGGGCATGTATGCATGCTTCCCATTGTTTTTGGAGCTACAGACAGAGCTACAATGCTACAGTTGTGCAAGATTTCTCCATAAGGCCCTGATAAGGTACATGAGCCTACATAGAGGTGACTACCCTGCTCTCCACCTATGACTGAATAAATAAAGGAACCACTTTTTCCTCTATATTCATACAACTAACAATACAGTAATATTTTTCAGAAAATTGTCTCCACTGAAGCTATGTTGGAAGGGGTAGGATGAGAGTGAGTCAGTTGTGAAAATTAAAAATTCTGGTTTAATATATTTTAGTAATAAATGTTCACAAACAAGCAGAAATTAAGTTTCTTCTCTATATTTTAAATTAATTTTTATTCTTCAGTTTATAAGACTCATGTCTCACTATATGTTTTTAAGTGGTTTCACAAAAATGTTTCAAAATTAATGATTCTGTAGAGTTTGCATATACTTGATATATATCTTTGAAATTATTTGTTCTTGTGCATGTTTTTAGTAACAGAATAAAGACTGCTTAAAGTTTTATTGAGAAAATTCAAGTAATTTCCTTATAACTAAATGAAAAGCATATAATTAAAAGAAGATTTAAAGGCAAGAAAAAATCCTTTTGTGAGAGCACAATTCTTGAATAATTACTTCAGCTCTGGCAGTGAATGCTTCGTTATTTAATGAAATCTTAATATGCAGTACTTTATCCCAAATGTGTCACGAATTTTCAGTGAGAGAAAATGAACTTTGGTCCTAATGTGTACTCTGGGAGTGAGAGGCACATGGCAAATATTATAGCAGGTCACTTTGAACGTTCTTTGCTCAGGTATCAGTAGTATCTTGGGTGTCAATAACAGCAATTTCAGTTTCCCTGTCAGGCCATGCAGAAAAAAATGTGTCACTGTCCTTTCCTTCCTCACCCACCGGCTATGGATCTCTCATGCTGATACACAATCCCAGGTCTGCCCCCAACATCCCTCACTGTGACTCAGCTGCAGCTCTTCACCCACCTGTGATGTTACCTGAGCCCTTCTGTGCCCGTTCCATGCGATGCTCGGAGGTACCAACACACTGCTGGCTGCACCTGAACCCCAGGGTGCAGCAGTGTCTGCACTGGGAATGCAATTCCTCTCACCTAACCTCAGCTTTCTGAAGGTTAGAAATATAGATACTACTCTATTTCCTTTCCAGCTAATGGAAGGAGACAGGAACAGCTGGCCAAGATTTCTCTGGGTGGACCTCACCGCTCTCCAAAGGTGTCTGTCCTGCACCTACAGGGACATCAGCTGGCTAAGGCTAACTGCATGTGGCATTGCCTGGTCTCAAGAGTTTGCAGAGACACAGCTTGACCTTAATGTGCACCAAAATGATTTTAGCATTAACAGAACCATTTTTGGCAAGCACGATGCTCTACATAAGGAAAGATCTGCACATGGTCCTCCCTGTACTCGGGCCTAATATTTCAAATGTTGCAGATTATAAGATGCAAGAGCAATACAAACAAATAGTTTTTTCAGTGATGAAGAAACATCATTAAAAGCTAGTGAAATACTTTTCTAAACTATTTAAAAGCATTTTGCCAATAGATCGGGAGATCAGGTGCAAACTAAGTTAACTCAAAAGGACTAAAAGTATTGATTTTTGAAAATGAATAACATAAATAAAACAATACTAACATTACCTGAGCAAAATTAAAGTTGGAAGCAAGAAAAGTAGAAGAAAATTATGCATATTTTTCAAAGATAATTGCTGGAAGTATATTTACATCTCTAAGTATAAAGGGGAAATTGAAAATCACATTATTTATATCTCAGTACTTTAAAAGTAAAATTACATATATAATTCCAAAGAGTATAAGTTCAATTAAAAGCCATATAGCATAGAAGAACTGTGCTCTCATCATGTGAAGTGCTTCCTAATAAGTAAGTGAACCACTGAGCAAATTCTTCTTATTCATAACCTGCACAGAAGAAGACAGGAGTAATCAGTGGGACAAAAAAATCTGTCAGTGTCCAATATGAAGTTCTTGTTTAGAGCCAAATTAAACTTTCTCAATTTTTGTCTGTCACTATTGTTGAATAGAAAGCCATTTGCAAATATTAAATAATCTAAAATTTGATTAAATACATTTATCAGGATGTAATTTTAAAGACCTTGCAGTTTATTCAATAGATTTTAAGCTCTTTTTGGAGGAAAAAAAGTCACTCACTTTCTTTCTAGCATTACCAGTTACTTTTTTACAAATACATTTTCTGTACCTTATTTCTTCGTGATGGAGGTGTTTTGACTAGTGTCACAATTTTAAAAGTCAGTGAAAAATCTGTTTCACTGAAGTGGAAGCCCTGATTAGGCATTGCTTTTTCTTCTTAAACCTGAAACAAGTATAAAAGCATGCCTCTTAGAACATTTAGATCAACTTTTTTTCCCTGTTCATGAGCAAAGAATTTAGGAGTGAAGGAAAAAAACAAAGTCTTTCTCTGTGACAGAAGATAAAGGCAGGGAAAAAAACCAAGAAAAAACAATAAAAAAGTCTCACCATTTCTCCTTAAAATCCGTAGGAGACCAATTCTCCCTCTCACTTTGTGTTTTGTGGATGGAGAGGTTTGAGTCGATTGATGACAGAGTTGGGTTAGCACCAGGACCATTTACTGAAGAGAGGGAAAATAGCTCTTCAGTCAAATACTTCCATATCTTTTGCTTTTTCCAGTGGCTCTTCTGCACTGTTTTCTGAAACAACATGACTATGGTGATTACTGCTGCAAGAAGATTATTACGGTAAAAATGTTCAACTGACAAAGATTTCAGTGTGTGTATTATCAGTTTGTATGGGTCAGAACTTTGTTGGAAAAATCTCAATGGAATTGCAAAATACAGTTTTCCAGCTCAGCAGACTTGTACCAAACATGCACAACTCTATGCAGAATGCCAGTGCCAGGCATCAGAGTAAAGCTTTTCAGCATGTTGCAAAACAAACAAACAAACAAAACCACAAAACAACAACAACAGCAACAACAAAAAAAAGCAAAAAACCATAAACCACCCAACCCCTCCCCCAAAAAAAAGAAACCAAAAAAACAAAACCAAAAATTGTGGTCATCTCAGAAGATGCAAAACAACTGTCTGAATGTGAATGTGTACACACACACACTCTTACCTACACACATGCTCTAACACATACACG